CATAAGGTCACGCTTGCTTTACGAATCTCGATATTTCTTATCATATTCAATTTTTGGCTGGTTCGCCTGCCCTCTTCCACCCTTCGCATACTCATTCTCGTGTTTCCTCTTCAGACGGCGAATAAAGTTCGATGATATACGCCGACTGCACCGTGTATAGTTTCGTTTTTATTTTTTTATTTATTTATTTAGGAATACTGCAGGCCAATTGCGGCCCAAGCAGGATTTGGGGTTACAAAAGTGGAGTCAAAAGAGCGCAACACCAGGTAATCCGTAAAATGGGAGAGGGGAACAAAATAAACAAGCTGCACAACTTTCAGCGTGCAGCTTGTTTATTTTCTTCGCGGCTAATGTAGAAAAATGTCTTCTACGATGCCATGACTCGATCTGTATTTATCTTGTCTCCTCGTCCGAATTGTGATGTTCCTCTTCGCGCTGATCGAGTGGCGGGTTCAGGCAGCAGACGGTACCAACCGATTCTTCTTCTTCAATATGTGTTAAAAATAATAAATGGAGACGTTAGTCATTCTAAAGCGTGACCGGCTACTCCATTACCATTGAAGAGAATATTTCCGACATAGAAATTAAACACTTCAAACATATAGATGCAGCTATACACCTCAATGTCTCCCCCCCCCCCCCCCCCCCACACACACACACACACCTTTCCCCTACCTATAACGGAACATAATAAAAAACCGTCTAAAGCTGAAGCCACACCGCCCACAGACCCCACAGCAATCAGCCCGCAGACACCGCCCAAGCATCGCCCGCCCCGCACACGACGGCCCGCCAGTCTACCCATACAAGATATAAGTCACATAACCTCCGGAAGCATACTCCGCTTGAGCGACGCGACTGGACCGTCGTGCAGAGAGTCAGAGCGTCCCAAGCGTCACCCGGGGGCCGCGCCCCGCAAGGCCCGCGGGTGCGACTCCACCTTCACACTGACAATGATCCTTAAATAATAACACGCACTAGTTCTACACACCAACACGTACACGCATACATAGACACATACGATGAGAACAGTTAATGAACCGCACTTATGTTCTTGGTATGAAGTGTCACCTCGAGTCTTACCAATTGTCACCAGATTGTTCACACATACACACACATTGCTATATTCATGCATTTTACAACAAGGTTCAATATTATCAACTCAAAAGCTAGTATTTGTCGATGATATCACTGTCTTCCAGAAACATTTTTATTGCCTGGAGAGCCTGTTTCTGCATGATTTGATTGGGCCATGGCCCCAGTAATTTATTTATGGTGAAAGGCCTTTTATCCAGGATATCAAACCGTACTTTTAGTTGTGACCGATTGCGATCGAAGCGAGGGCAGTTAAAAAATAGGTGTTCAATAGTTTCCACATCCTGACCGCAAGAACATTTCGGGTCCTCAATTTCATTAATTTTGTAGCGAAATTCTCTCGTGAAAGCCACGTTCAGTCGCAGGCGGTGAAGCATGGTTTCAAATTTTCTCGGTATATCGCTTGGGATATAAAACCGTAATTCTGGATCCACCACGAAGAGAGTAGACTGCCGTCCTGCCTCATTAAACCATATGTCGACTGCCATTTCTTTGGAGTGGTGTGCAATTAAATACTTTATGTCTGTTTTCGAAAAAGGAATTCCTCGAATTCTTTCTAAAGCGTGTGCACTTGTTGCTAGTTTGTCTGCCTCCATGTTTCCTGAGATTCCGCTATGGCCTGGAATCCACTGCAGCTTTAATGAATGACCATTACTTATGGCTCGATCGATCATATCAGCTACCTGGTAGACTAATGTATATGCCGGACTTCTAGAGTTTATTGACGAAAGAGCACCGAGGGCTGCCTTGGAGTCCGTGCAGATAACCCACTGGTTTTTCGGCTCTACGTCCTTTATATACTCCACTGACGCAAAAATTGCATAAAGCTCTGCAGCAGTAGAGGACGTTCTGTGGGACAAACGAATACGTTTCTTCACTTGCATTGATGGAATTACGAAAGCTGAGGTTGAGCCATCATTTGTCGTAGAGCCATCTGTGTATACATGAATGTGGTCTCTGTAGTGATCATGCAAGTATGCCAACGCCGACTGAGCAATCACAAAATGAGATGTGCTCAGGCTTTTCTTAAGGTTGGGTAATTCCGTGTTAATATCTGCGACGCGAAACATCCAGGGTGGTCGATCTATAGTCGGAACCCACGGTGTGTAATCCGGCACGATTACGCTCGACGATATAAGTGTCGAGGAAATATGTGAGCCCGTCCTAGTTATCAAATTCTCCGCAAGTGGGTGACAGTTCTGAATGGACAAGCGTAGGAAATGACGTAAGGTCTCATGTTCGCGTAAAGTTTGAAGAGGTAGCTGTTTTGTTTCTGCTAAAACCAGTGTTCCGCGAGTTGGACGCGGGACGCCCAAGCAGATCCGAAGACTACGGGCGATCATGTAATGCAGTCTGTTTTCTTGTGTTGCAGATAATCCATGGAGTGCTGGGAGTGAATATGTAATAAGTTGCCGAACAATCGCAGAATGCAGCATTATCATGGATTTCGTTGAGGCTCCCCAACGAACTCCAGTAAAATAACGTAGAATGTTGATTGTTTTGTTTACTTTTGCCTCCAGCATATCGATGTGTTTTACCCAAGTGAGGTTTTGATCTAGAATCACTCCAAGAAAGCGATGATGCGAGACGCGTTCTAAAGTTTGACCCTGTATTTTTAGCTCGAATCCACGAAGGTGCTTCCTCGTGAACGGAAGCATTACTGATTTTGAAGGCGCAATATCCATACCCCGTTCACTTAAGAACTCGTTTAAGAGCTTCAGTCCCGCTTGAAGCTGATCCTGTAAAGTCTTTAGACAAGTGCCTGAGGCCCAGATGCAAATGTCATCTGCATATATCGTCACATGGAGTGGTGAAGGGAGGCGACCTGGAAGCAAAGCCATGACCGTATTAAATAGAGTAGGGCTTAGTACGCTCCCTTGAGGTACGCCGTGTCGGAGAGTTTGACTCGTGCTATCTCCATCTGCGGTCTTTACAAACATTGTCCGTTTTGAAAGGAAGTTTTTTATCCACCGTACGACTCGTCCTCGAATTCCAAGATGTATAAGACTATATAGAATGTGGATTTGACTTACTGTATCGTATGCGCGCTTGATATCTAAAAATACAGCTATTGTGATTTTTCCGAGCGTACGTTCATGTTCTATGTACGTTACCAAATCTAAAACGCAATCCATCGTGCAGCGTTTGGGACGGAACCCTGCTAGTTCTTCCGGTAACACTTCACTCGTTTCTAGCCACCATTGTAGTCGTTGATTAATTAGCTTTTCGAAAAGCTTACCTAAGCAGCTTGTAAGGCTGATTGGTCGAAAGGAGGCTAGGTCCATGGGTGTTTTTCCCGCTTTCAAAAGCGGTATGACCTTAGCGACTTTCCATTGGGCTGGTATTTCTTCCTTGACCCAGAGAGAGTTGAACGTGCTCAAAATGAAGTTCAGCGCACGTGGACCGATGTTGGTCAATTCATCCCATGTGATCAGGTCTGGGCCAGGCGACCTGCCCCGACGTATCACTCTCAGTGCGTTTTGAAGTTCCCTCATTGTGAAAACACAATCTAGCTCCAAATGACAGGACGTAAACTCGTTATCAATTGTTTGTTTGGCATTGACACACGAGGCAAAGTATTTAAGTGTCAGAGATGCCGCGCTTGGTCGAACCAATAATTTGCAAAACTCGTCTGCTATTGTCAGTTCTGATACGCCTCTGGATAGGGCCATTGCTCGCAACGGGAACCTTTGAATAGTCGGCGCTTGGAGAGCTCTAATAATAATCCACATCCTCGTGAGGTCACTTACAGACGATAGCTTAGCACAAAGCTGTCGCCATCGATGTTTGGCAAGTTGTCTAAGTTTACGCTGTATAAGGCCGTGAACACGCTGAGCCTCCTTATAGTCCTCTATCCATCCTGAGCGGCGGTATCTTCGTTCGGCTCTGCGTCGTATTGCTCTAAGTTTTTCATACGAAGCATCAACACCTCTATAATCGGATGGAATGGATACCCATCTTGTTGCGTGGTCAAAATTTTCTTTCACAATCGAAATAAAATCGTCCAACGTATCAACGTTTTTACAGCTTAGCGTATTCAAAGATCGAAACATACGCCAATTTGTAATTTTAACTTTCCGTTGTCCATTGCGCGGTCTCGCTACCTTTCTGTGCTGGACGAGTATGGGCAAGTGGTCGCTTCCATGGGTTTCTGTATCAACATGCCATGATAAATCCGGGAAAATGTCTTGAGAACATATTGTCAAATCCAGAACACTTGAATAAGTACATCCACGAAGAAATGTCTGAGAGCCATCATTTAGCACGCATAGATTATATTTCTCTATTACATTGGCAATCAGCTTCCCTCTCCTATCATTTTGTGTGCTTCCCCACAATGTATGGTGCGAGTTAAAATCCCCACATAAAATGTATGGATCACTAAATTTTGAGAATATTGATGTTAGAGCTTCCTCCGTCACTGATGTTACTGGCTCTATATATACGCAGGCTATAATCATTGCGGTCGTGCCAAACGTGATCTTGCACGCGACGTATTCTGGCGCTTCAGACGATGATGTGCACATAATAACTGATGGTATGTCTTTCCTCACACAGAGCATTGCTCGACTGGGACCATCCCGACGGGACGAGCAATACGTGAGGTAGCCAGCTATCTTAGTTTTTGCATCTGTATGAGCTTCAGATATTGCCAGAACAGGGAACTGGTATTGCGCAACGAGCTTCCTGAAGTCTCCTATTTTAGTTCGGAGGGAATTCGCATTCCATTGGAATACAGTGGTTTCACTGTACACACTATTCATTACATCTCAGGGACCCTTGTCCCCAGAATAAGGGGTTCCATATTAAGGATCGCCTTTACCTCTGGGATGTTGACGGCGTCTGGTAGCGATCTAATGATCGCTTTCACTGCCAAAAACAGTAGCCGCATGAGAAATCGTTGATCAGTTGCTTGGCTGTCTGCGTTGACCGGGGAATCTGCACGGTATGTAGCAGACGGCGTCTCCATTGAGTGTGTCGTTTGTGATGCAGTGGGTCGTGGAGCCCTTCGGGCACCAGACGCGGTAGGCATTGGAGGTCCTGACTCGCGCTTTTCGGCTTGATCGAGTAAGCGGCGCTGACGTCATGGAACCATTTTCATTTTTTGAAGCGGTGTTTTTCTTACTTGGTTGTCGATGTAGCACGTCTGAATACGTAGGCTTGGATGTCGACGATTTTGTGTCGTTTGGAGCTTCAGGTATTCGCACCATCTCTGGATTTGATGGTGGAGATCGTCGAGTAGGTGTTCTGCCATTTATAATTTCGGTTTTTCTTACAACTGCTGCCGCTTTTTTACTGGAGCAGCCGGAAAACGTTGCCGCGTGGCCTTGGCCGCAGTTGGCGCATTTAGGTTCAGCTCGTGAGCTGCACTCTTGATGGTGATGTGGACCTGCACATATTTTGCAACGGCGGGCACCGCGGCAGTTCTTGGCAATATGTCCAAATCGTTGACATTGGTAGCATTGAAGGGGAGAACCGAAGTACTCTTCCACTGGGTGGCTGGTGAACCCCAAGTATACCCTGGGAGGCATCGGGTGGTCCTGCGTGAAGCGAAGTATGACGCTATCTTTGGGACGGGCCACTGAAGAGCCATCTTCTTGTCTTTGGTATGCAACCTGTCTTTGGACAGTTAGTACACCACTGTCTTTTAAGTACTCCAATAGATCACTATCGGAGTATTGGAGAGGAACTCCTTTGATTTTGCCCATGTTTTCGGAGTAGGACCTTGGAGTGGTTGCCCTTACCTCGATTCCCGCGAGGGATGTTTGCGCAAGCAGTTTATTTGCCGCAGGGAGGGACGCTACACTGACCGATAGGCTGCCATCCTTGGCGATTCTGTGTGAGAGTATTTTCTCCTGTGCTATTCCCAATACCTCTCGTGCCAGGACATTCGGGTTCACCTTCCAGAAGGAAGTCTCCTTGGACGTCGGATGAAAGAGTATTGGGATACCTGCTGGTCGGTTTTTCTTGTAAGAGACGATGGTAAAACCCGCGTCATCGTCGTTGTCATCCATGCTTTCCTGTAACGTGTAAGTCGAAGTCGCCGCTTCCGATGGAGGATCTGACCTCTGCGGGTCGAGTCTGCATGCACCTTCAACGCGCTGCCGTTTGATGGGAATGACGGCTTCCGCCTGCACATCTGAGTGGGTAGTTGGGGGCGTCGGTGGCAGCTCTTGGGAGGGTGGATTTTCATTGGGTGAAGGTGATTTACCTTGTTCCTGGGAGGGTGGTATTTGTTCCATGGTGGCGGTGGCTTTATCAATGGAATGGCATCGGGTTGCGACGACAATGGCAATTTGCCGGCCGTCGACGCCCGTTTCTTGGTGTTCAGACTTGCCGGTGCGGATGCCAAGTTAAATATACAATCCTTGCGACTTGAATAACAATTGAAAATGATTTAAGAATGGCCAATTTGGGAAAAATAAGCTGAGAGCCACAAAACTGCGACAGGCTGTTCCGAGGCTTCTTCTTCTTTTTTTACCAACCGATTCATTCTTCTACCTCGGTGTCGGTTGTTCGCGTAGTGGCGACGGGTCGGGAAGTCAGCGTTAACAAAGCTCTTCACATCAAGATACAATTAACGGGGTAATACCGCACCGTTCGAATTGACATTCCCCGTGTTTCCTCATTAACACCGTCCAACTGACTTCTCACCGCCTCAAACAGGGTCCAGGACAAGGAGCACGAATGCAGACCGGACAGCCGAGACGCGCGGAAGCCAAAATCTCAGCAGCAGCTAGCACCCAGCTCTCCTTCTCAGTTGCCCTCACAGCAACGGTCGCACCTCGTCTGGAGCGGGACGGCCTTTCTTTCTCTCTTTCTTTCTTCCTTTTATTTCCTTTCTTTCCGGATTGACCGGGAGGTGGGCAGAGACTAAAGGCGTGATGCCTGACGAGGTCTCTGTCCCCTTTACAGTTCTAACACAGCAGTGCAGGGTACATAGATTTTTGAAGACGAAAATTTGAGAAAAGAACCTATAAAATTCTATACACCTCAGAAACAATAAACAACAGGATCGATCAATTATCCCACGATAATTTTTTCAGCAAAGGAGGATAAAAACAAAATTGGTCAGAAACATGTTTTAACAATTCAAAAGTGAAGTATGGACATGATTTCATAAGTACACAGTACACACATATCAGAACACAATGTCACTGCCCACCAAAAGTGTCTTTGGTCTTTTTTTTAATTGAAGTATATTGCAGTTAAAATCTATTAGATCTGCAGGTCTAGTCAGTTCGGTCACACCAAGAGCGGCGACGATAGTCTACTTCACCTTACGATGAACCTCAACAGACAGCACGAGAGCCATCGAAACCAATCCAGTGCTTCCTGAGTGCTGCGTCACCCTGCAGTCCCGCTCACGGTACTGGATTGCCTAGGGTGACTCGTAGCGTCCGCAGCGGTCCGTCGCAAGGTGAAACGAAGTATGCAGAGACTAAAGTCAAGAGAAATGAGTGGGAATCCGCTAGCTTACTTGAAACCCCAACCCACTAAAACAGAAAACACAGAAAACAAGCATCGGAACAAAGACCAAGTAATAGGCGGACATACAATACAAATGCAGTACAAAAAAACAAGCCTCGGAGCAAAGCGCAAGACGAGAAGGGGGAAGTGAATCTCGCTTTGTTTTAATGCCGAAGCAAACCCAGATTTCGCACTTCAAATGAGTGCGCACGAATGAACGTGGAAGGCAGCAGGGTTGGCTGCCTGCTAAACAACGTGCCTCGAACTATAAGAAAACAATACCTGATCATCTTTCGACGGCACCCAAGTCAACGAGTTATCAGAGCTCTGCGAGTTATGAGTCGCTTTCGCTCCCAGATCTCAGTCTGTGCGCGCGCGCGCATTCTACAAACCGTCGCAACAACAAAAAAAAAAAAAAGCATGACAAAAAGTACGGTGAGGAGTTGTGCATGGCGGTTTCTTTCTTCGCCGCTCCCTTTTCGTTTGCTTGGTGCTTGGTTTCTTGTTTCGCTCTCGTGTAACGCCATCGAAGCCCGACGCCTGCGCGTCCGTGAAAGGCGCCACGTTACCCCCCTTTCCCCCTTTGCTCTTTGCTTTGACGCTTGTTTTTTGTATTGCATTTTGTTGGCGTATAAGTCTGTTAGGGCTCCTCGCGGGCTAGCAGTTTCCCGCTCATTTTATTTCTGAGCAACTGACTCACTGACTGGCTCGGTTTAGCTGACCGTAAACACTAAAAAAAAAAAAAAGAACCGTGCCCATTCCATTCCCATTCCATTCCAGGCAAAAGGCACCTAATTCCATTCCCATTCCATTCCCTTCAACGTTGCCGCCATTCTATTCCCATTCCATTCCGGGGTCGTGAAAATGCGGAATGATTCCGGAATCATTCCAACTCCGGAGTGGCAACTCCGCAACACTGCTTCGTATCCGGGAAGCCGCCGCCATCGCGGTCCCCACGACCTGCATGTGCTAGGCCTAGATAGGGAGACGGGGAACACTGATAGGGTATTTATAATCGCCAAGGTTTTTATTTGTACGTGACATATGAGAGCTCAACTACCCAGAACACAATTGACGGCTTGAAATTCGTTTTCTTTCCGCCCGAAAACCGACGATCGAGAACAGGCCATTTTGAGTCGCACTCACTCTCTATGGTTTAGACACAACCACCAAAGATAATCAAAGTTGTGGGTCATCGAAGGCACACACTCAATAATAAATATAGACTGAAAATAAAACACCGCGATTTTTGGGGGCTTCTAAAACATTGCAAATATACTTATTGAATGAAACAAAAATAAAAAGGCTGCACAGCGGCGTGACTTTCGCTAACTCTCTCCTCCTCTATATTTCTTCTTCCTCCCAGTTCAATTTCGGTTTCGTTTTTTTTTTTTTTACTGTATTAAAAATATGCGTGACGCTGTAGCGAAATATTGATTGGGTAGTCTTCTTACACCATAAAAATTGCCCAACAAAAAAAAAGATTTTTTTTTTTTTTTGGGGGGGGGGGGAGGGGGGGTGTCAGTGTCCTTTTATCCGAGAAAGGTGAGATCGCTGCATGTTCATGATTTACGCCACCGTATGAAGTGGTTCTGTCCGGCTCTCTCTTTCATGCAATTCTTATTTCTAGTCTAAAATCCAGTTAAAGGGTGGGTGCAACTATTTCCGGATTTCGGTCTAACATTTGTGGAAGTTGCCCTCTGACACTTATGAAGTAAAGAATAAAAAACCGATTTCGCCTGCGTGTCAATGTTAACCATAGTTTTGTTTAACCCGAGACTGGGGTATTTCGGAAAAGGGACGAGAAGAAAAGAGGCCACAAGGAGGCGACGTCTCAAATGTGGCCTCTTTTCTTCTCGTCCCTTTTCCGAAATACCCCAGTCTTGGGTTAAACAAAACTATGGTTAACTTACACCAGCTCGCCTGCACCCTTACAATTTTTTCAGTGTCAATGTTGTTGTGCAAAAAAAGAAAAAAGATAAATATTGTCATTTTTGGCACCCCTCAACTCACTCCCAGTCTTCAGGGTCCCACCTGGTCGCACTCCTAGTGACGTAATTCGGGGTGCCGTGTAGGTTCCCGCGTGCGCTCTCTCGGAGGGCGCCTCCTCTCCCTCTCTTTGCTGAGGTTGGCGTTATGCTGCAGCTTAGAGCCGAGCGAGGTCATGTAATCTTCTGATCTAGTTCCTTCGGCTGCCACTCGCGGCTGTGCTCTTTTTCAGTGGAATGTATAGTCTATATTCTACGGAGTATCTAAGGCTAGGGTGCACGCTCCATAAGTCCATGGGGTATTGAATATTTTGGGGTCGTAATAACCATTCTTCAAATTTACTCGCTTTCCTTTTTTTTAATACATTAAACATAAAAATTTCTAAATCCAAAGTTATCGTTATTGATTTGATATTACACAGAACTGGCAGGCTAACATAGAGGTAGTCCGATAAGCTTGGCATATTTTTAGTAGTGGAATATTTTTAACAGAAATTATTTTTCTTTTTAAATGACTGCTATGTTCTTTTTTTCACCGTATTATATAACGTTGTATGGAATGCAAATAATTTTTTTTCTAATTTGATTCCCGCTCAGCACCCCCTGCACAGACGAAAAACGATAACCAGCTCGCCTGCACTCTTTCCCTTATGACTTCCCTTCTATGTTAAATGTCTGTTTAAGTACTTTATTCTTTAGATATGTTACGTGCGGAATAAAAGGTAAGTGGGGGTCAAAAATGATTCCTAAGATTTTCAATCCCTGTTTGTATTTCAACTTTTTGTTGTTAAACTTGATTTAGAGAAGATGCTTTTTGTATTTGTTTCCCGGGCCCGTTTGCTCGAAGCGCTAACCGCCGCTAAAGTTAGCCGCAGTACCTAGGAAAGGGATTTTGAAATCACGTGACTGGCTCGGTAGGGCAGTATGTATTATCTCTATGCGGTAGGGATGCGGGGAAACATGGCGGTGCCCCGGTGAGTGAGCGCCTCTCGCTTTGGAGCTAATATGTCATTGTAGCTGCAACATCGGACGCGTTAGTCAGCAACGAATGGAGCAGGAGGCTTTCGCCTTGCCTTACCTCACTTCGATTGTGGCCATTCCTAAGCCTAAATGAACGCGATAATTGTCGGCATGGCAACGCCTTTGGAAAGTGGATTGCCTTGACTCAATCGGCCGGGCATCGATAGCACACAAAATGAGACAGCGTCCCAATGGACCTTTTTTTAAAGCTCATTGAACGATCTTTCAATGTGCACTAGTGGTGCATGTGAAACCAACTGGCCAGCCTGTCGCGCACGCGCATAGCAGTCGAACCTGAGTTGAACCTTTGTCGATTTGTCACAAGAAGTTCGAAAAAGTCGAACCTGGTCGACCTCGAACCTCGACCGGTTCGCGACACCCTAGTTAAAAGTTCGAAAGTTCGTCGAACCGGTATAAAACAGTAGAACCCCTAAAGGCATACCTAAAGGTCGACCTAAAAATCCGGTTCCACAAAAGTTCGCGACCGCTTGGAACGAAAAATATATCCAGTCGTTCAAAATACAAACGTGCGATTATCATTTACGGTTATTATTCTTCATTCTTGAATCATTTCCGAACGAAATTTGTATATTTGAATTTTCGTTTTCTCAAGCGCGCCTTTTTGCTGTGGCCTGGCCGTGTACATAGAGTTATTACAATAAACGCTAGAGGTTCAGGTGGCGCTAGTGTGCTGTTTGTTGCATCTTGAAGCAGACAGCAGCCAGTCAGAAATTGACTTCCGGTAATGCATTTCTACGGGACAA